ACAACATCCCATTTATAGGACAGCTGAGGCAGCTGTGGCAGGCCCCCACCCCACAATGCAGGGCTTAGGGTGGCTGGCCCGAACAGTCCTATAGAAGTGAGGGCTCTGACCACGACTGACACGTTCTTTTCAATCAGCTGAACGTCAGGGCGATGATGTGGCTGTGACCTGGCAGATCACATACCAGCTCATGCCAAGACCCTGAGCTCCCCCCACCCCCCGACACACGTGTGGCTGATTCACCGGGATTAGTACTGTTAGCGGTGTCATCATCTCGCCAGCAAAAGAAAGCCCAGGGACAACAGATGAGCCCCGGTAGAACATCCGTGCACCAGATTTTGATTGCTCCTTCCACACCTAAGAAGAGATAGGCCCTCATCCCGCCAGCTTGAACTCTGCAGGGGCAGGGGGAAGGAATAAAAACACTTGTCAAGATGAAATTCTCTCTGTGCTGCTGGAACTCTGCGGGGTGAGGACTTCTAAGCATAAGCAAGCGTTCCCCAGCCTTTCTAGCTAGGTAAGGTGCCCAACACCAGCACAGGCATTTCAAGTACAAACCCTCGAGAAAGATTGTTTATAGCAATGGACAGATCTTAATCAGGGTAGCTCCATTGACTGACCTGTGAGGGCAGGGGACCGGACCTGATGACCTCTCAAAGTCCCTTCCAGTTCAAGTGTTCTACGGTTCTATGACTGTAATAGAATTGCGTCAGTTTACACCAGCTAAGGCCCCGGACCGAGAGTATACTTGGGAAGAAGATTCTCCGACAGCTGCAGACATTTACCCTCCGTCAGCACTAATTCCACAGCCACGGTGACATTGGAAAAGGCAACAGTTTTGAGTGACGTGAAGTGACTGATGGATGCGAGGGAGCTAATGGCCCACGGGGATTATCCAGTCTGCTCCCCTGAAGCATGCAGATGAGAGAATTGATGACCTCTCGTGTCCAGACTCAGGGGTTTTTTCGAAAAAAGTAGCCTTTTTTCGAAAAAACTTCCCCTGCGTCCAGACTCAAGCCGCGTTCTTTCGAAATTAATTCGAAAGAACACGGCTTTTCTTTCGATGGCGGTAAACCTCAATTTACGAGGAAGAACGCCTTCTTTCGAAAGTTCCTCTTTCGAAAGAAGGCGTTCTTCAATGTAAATAGGGCTTCTTCGAAAGAGAGCATCCAGACTCACTGGATGCTTTCTTTCGAAAAAGCAAGCCGCTTTTTCGAAATTTCTCCGTGCAGTCTAGACGCTCTCTTTCGAAAGAGCCTCTTTCGAAAGAGGCTTGCAGTCTAGACATAGCCCTAGTGATCTGGAGTCACCTGGAACATATACAAGGAAGACACCTCTGAAGATAGACGCCTGGGTGCTGATATTATGGAAGTTTGGGGCACACTACAGCCGGCACCTCGGCAGGATCCCAACGGGGGCGAAGTACTGGGAAGTTTACACATGGCTCTTAGTATATACTTTAAATATCGGCTTTTCTAGCCCACTCTGCATTATGATCTAGGACGAGTTAATAGGCTATCTAGCTATGCTTGCTGTCCACCTGGATCCAGCTATTCGGCAGTGTCATAATGATCGGTGGAGCCAGGACATCAGCCAAGACCTACAGCATGTGGAATGGTGACGTTTCTCAGGTGGAGGAGAAGAAATACAAGGCCCCGGCATTTGTGACGCTGACCCCTTCCCCACTCATGCCTCCAAATCTCCCTCAGGTCCTCCTATCCAGCCGCCTGCCCCAGACAGCTCCCTGTTCATGGAATCATAGACGATTGGGGTTGGAAGGGGTGTTAGGAAGTCTTCTAGGGCAGGGGACTGGACCTGATGACGTCTTGGGGTCCCTTCTAATTCAAATGTTCTGTGATCTAGTCCAATCCCCTGCTCAAAACAGAACCCACCTCAACAAAATCGCCCCTTAGAGAACCAGTGCGGGCTTTTTGCTCATTTAGAGGGCAATGTGAAGTGTGTTCAAGTCCCTCTAACCCCAGAAAGCGGATGTGAAGGAGAGTCAACGCCAGCCACGCGTCCGGGAGCTGTGGGGAAGGAACTGTGCATGTTCCATGTGAGGGGCAGTGAACAATGGGCCTTGAGAACGTGGCAGGTTGGCATTATTGTGAGCGGGCCCACTGGGCCGGAGTGACATTACAGCGTGTCCGGCAGCGAACAGCATGTATGCGGAGTTCAGCGAGTCCATGTCCCTCCTCCAGTCTCTAGAAATACCGGGATCCCCAGCCCAGCACCTCACCGGCCTCCAGCCTCCCTCTCTGCTCCTCTGCTCTGCAGCCCTGCTGAGACCCCAGCCCCCTCCAGCCATGAGGATCCTCCACCTGGTGTTTGCTGTTCTCCTGCTGGTCTCCTTGGCTGCTCCAGGTGAGCGGTCGCTCTGGGAGGGGCGGGAATAGGGACGGAGGAGGGGGATCGGCGGGTAACAGGAAGGACTCAGGCTCCCCGGCAGTGTCTGGGTGGGGGGGGCATGTTCTGGGGACAGTCTGAGCCAGGACCACTGTGAGCACCACGTGGGTGTCCACTTGTCTGGGCGTGTTTAGATGAGCCGCTGCTGAGACAGTCCTGAGCATCTGGCTCTCTGGGTTCCCGCCTGGCGAGTCGCTCAGGGATTCCAATTCGGGAGATTTCCCGTAAGGACGGGCAGAGAATTCCATCCTCTCGCCAGCTCCCCGAGCTCAGACCCTGCGGCCAGCGCTCCCCCCGGCTGTGACCCTCACGTTACACACCTGGGTCCACACTGGGCACAGAGATACAACAGGCCTGATTCCCAGAGGCCCTGAGCACCCCAGCTCCTTTGGGTCCCTCCTGAAAACCAGGCCATTGGTTGCAAATGCCTTGCTGTAGATGGGGCTGCCTGACAGTGGAGAGCTGCACATGAAAATTCTGGCTCCAAATTCTCAGGAGAAGGACCGAGTAAGGATGCTCTTTGCTGCACTCCAGGGTGTCCTGTGAGCCCTGGTTTTAGGGATGTTTCTGTCCTGCAGAAAACAGAGTAAACCCAGCAGCCCCCTGAGATCCTGCTTCCCTAGAGGGCTGGAGAGGAAACGTTTCCCTTTATTATTGGAAAGGTGACTTCTGAGCCAGGAACTGTGTGTAACTCACGGCTGTGCTGCTTTCCCGAGTCTGCAGAGAGCCTGAAACAGCCACTCTAATAACCATGGAAGCTCTTCTCCCTCTGGGCTCAATGGAGTTTTAACGATGGCCACGTTTTGTGCGCCCTGAAGAGCTAGATTTTCAAGGGGATGCCACGGTGTGTCTAACCTGCACAGGTGCTGCCCAGAATCGGGTGGGCACCTTGACTGTTCATGAGCTCAGATGGTCAAGAGCAGGATTTTGCCACTCAAAGTCTCCCAGGAGTACCATGGACTTCATGGTCCCCTCCCTCACAACTGGCCTTCTCCTTCCTTCCTGCTCTTCTCCTCTCCTCCGCCCACTGCCATTTCCCTCTTCCATCTCCTTCTTCCACCGTCTCCACCTAGCTGCTCCTACCTCTCTACTCTCTCCTTCACTACCTCCTCTTCTCCCATTCTCCCCCTTCCAATGCCCCTTCCTTCCCAAATCCAGCTCCTACACCCACTCCCTTCCTCTCCCTACACCCGCTCCTTCCATCGCTCTCTCTGTCTCCATCTCTGACATCCTGCCTGCTCTCACCTGCCCTGGACCCTCACACACACCAGCACCCGGCCAGTGTGTCTTTCCCACGGAGATGCCCTCTGAACTACAGGAACCCACTTTTCTTCCTTCTCAGGGGCTCCCCCAATACTTCTCTCCCCATAACGTCTCTTAAGACATCAGGCGGGAGGCATTTAGAGCTCTGATACCCTCTCAGGTTACGTCTACACTGCATGATGAGAGATTAAAAGGGCTAGCGCTTTTCAGCTTAGAAAAGAGGAGACTGAGGAGGGATAGGATAGAGGTCTATAAAATCATGACTGGTGTGCAAAAAGTGAAAAAGGAAAAGTTACTGACGTGTTCCCATAACGTAAGAACTAGGGGTCTCCGGATGAAATGAATAGGCAACAGGTTTAAAACAAATGAAAGCAAGTTTTTCTTCACTCAGAACAATATCAACCTGTGGGCCTGTAACCACCACCAGGCAGGTTTGAACCCGGGACATCTGAAGCAGAGTATAGGAGCCTACATCCTCTGAGCTAAAAGCCAGCTGGCGCCTTCTGAAGCAGAGTATAGGAGCCTACATCCTCTGAGCTAAAATCCAGCTGCCTCCCGTCCCATGCTGTAGAGGTCTTTTGATCTTAGCTGTTGATGTGGTCTAGGTGCCACTGCATTGGTCAGTGAACCACACTAGGGCTTTGTCTACACTGGTGCGCCCCACACACCTAGGCTATGTCTACACCGGCGCGATCTTGCGCCAGAAAGATGCAAATGAGGCTAAGCGTGGAATAGCGCCGAGCCTCATTTGCATATCTAATGAGCCGCCATTTTTTGCGGAAGAGGCTCTTGCGCCAGAAGAAGCGTCTACACGGCCCCTTCTTGCGCAAGAAAAACCCTCTTGCGCATTGCTGTTATTCCTGAAAATAATCAGCACAACGGCGTTGCACAAGAGGGTTTTTCTTGCGCACGAAGGGGCCGTGTAGACCGCTCCTTCATGCGCAAGAGCCTCTTCTGCAAAAAGGGCGGCTCATTAGATATGCAAATGAGGCTCGGCGCTATTCCACGCTTAGCCTCATTTGCATCTTTCTGGCGCAAGATCGCGCCGGTGTAGACATAGCCTAGGTGTGTGGGTTACAGAACTCCTTGCCAGAGGACGTTGTGAAGACCAGAAAAGAGAGCTAGATAGATTCATGGAGGTTAGGTCCATCAAAGGCTATTAGCCAGGATGGGTAGGAATGGTGTCCCTAGCCCCTGTTTGGAAATGGATGACAGAAGAGGGATGATTCCCTGTTGTGTTCCTCCCTCTGGGGCACCTGGAATTGGCCGCTGTGGGCAGACAGGACACTGGGCCTCTGGTCTGACCCCGTCTGGCTGTTCTTATGTTCTTCCTATGAAGGGGAAGGCAGCTGCTGCCTGGTAAGCGGTCGTCCCTTCCAGGGCAAGAAATTCCCGTTCAGCTTCTCAGTCAGTCTCATCTCTTGGCCTGGAGCATGAATGTGAGTGTGGTTGTGATGCTATTGGAGAAGACACCAGGGTCTTGTCTCGTGGGGACCCTCAGAGCCGCACAGGAGGGACTGGAGAGAGGGGGCCGGGCTGTTTGGGTGGGCAGTAACTGTGAGCGTTGTTCTTTTCTTCTGCCTGACCCTGGACGCTCTCTGTCTCCGCAGGCTATGGGCAGAAGAAGGCCTGTCGTGGCAACTGCACCAAGTCCAAATGTGCCAAATACGAGACGCAGGTGTACGGCACCTATAACTGCAAATACAACTGCTGCGTCCCTCCCAAAAAGACAAAATGAGCCCAGAGGGATCCACCCGTCCTGGACCAGGAGCAGCCGCCGCAGCGGGTCCCCGACTCCCCACAGAAATGTTGCTCCCTCGTCCCATTAAATAAGAGCAGCTCTGGCCTTGGCGTGTGCCGTGTGGGTCTCTCGTGTCTCAGGGCTCTCGTGTGGGGAACCTGGAAAGATTCTAGAGCCCAACCCTGTTAGCAGGCCCGTTGCTCACAGCCCAGGGAAGGTGCAAATAATCCCTGAGCCATGTCTGCAAAATGGCCCCTGAGAAATCCTGGTTTTACCCTCTGCCTTGTAACTGGGGGGACGGGCAACTTTCTACAGACCGAAAACCAGCACCCACCCCAGCCTCT